TAGTAGCCTTGCTGCCATTGCAGCAGCTGCAAGTGCAGCAAAGAGAGTTGAGAGTTGAGTATGAGAGGGTGTAATCCTTCTTCTCCGTGTATATGCTTTTATTTTTTCTCTATCTCTAAATATATTCACTTCTCCTGTGGATATAGACGGTTTTGCCGAACCATGTTAAATATTGTGTCAGTATGCTTGACCCTCCTATAAGCAAGTATCACAACATAATTATCCTAGGACCACTGATCTCCTCGGAAACTTGAGCAAATGGCCCCCTTTGCAAAAAGAATATTAAAACTACCCAGTAAAAAGCCATATCGTTAAATGGTGATGAGGATAGCCCAAGCAGGACAATGGAGAAACCAGTGAAGCGAGCTGAAGCCTGTCAAATGAGAAATTAGATCAGTATTACACTCTCTTCACCCATAAACATTCAGAAAAATATCAGCGGTTCAAAGGTTTTATTGCAGTTCATGAACCATTTGAGAGCGTGCCTTTCTTTTTTGTGTCAGCAGCATTCTGCGTTTAAACCTTGAAGTTATTGCTATATTGTACTTGAAAAAGATCATGGGGTGCTCCTGTGTACTGTCCACCGACTCGTGGAAAAGTGGAACACGGTAGTAGTGATCATGGCTGGCCCACTTTCATGAGAGAGGGGAGGCAATCCAGTGGAAATATCTTATATTTTCTCTCGTATATGGCTTTAAATGGTACACCTTCCTCCCCACATAGCAAAAGCTCTCCTGCAGGGATGATGTTGATGCATTAAAAAGAAGTCCCGCCCATGCCCATATCACTAGGGCATTAATAAGAAATTGACCATCACTGGGTGGTATTATGAAGCCCAAAAGGAAAAGAACAATACCCAAGAAAACCCAGCTAAAGGTCCTGCTGCCGCAACTTTCAGATGAACTTCATGTTTGGGCACGATACTTGGTATCCTCGTTATAGCACCAAAAGAGACTATCTGCCGCTGATACAGGATAGATCAGTAATCATGTATATTGATAAAAATAAACTGCTTCTGAAGGACAAGTCTCCTTGCAAGCTTTCCAAAAGAAATCGTGGCTAGGGAACTGCTCCGTAAAGATTAAGACAAGACAACCATATATGTATATGTACACGCATACAGTGTGTGTGTGTATTTATGTGTGTTTGTATTTCACCTGCCAACTTGGAACAAAGTATGGCACCCCAAGCTTAACTTCATTACTTTTTGCAACCAGTATGTGGCTCAATTCATGCGCCCCCAGAACAAGTGCAGTCACAAGGGCTCCGGGTAGCCCATCCATCAACAGCTGAGGATTGTCAAAAGTCGATCTGGAACATTTAAAATATCAATGTTCTAGTCAGAAAATTTGTATGAGTTCTGTGTCATGAAAGAAGTCTAGAAGGTCAAAGAAAATGCTCATACAAAAATGAATTAGAAACCTTGAAGATAAACTACAAGATGAGTAGATATAAAAGGCACTTTTAACACCACAGCATAAACAAATTATCCACATGAACAATGACAAAATAAAAATAAAAATGAAGTACCCTCTCTGGAAAATGCATGTAGCAAAGGCAAAGAAAGAGAATTTGCTCAAGTTATCACCCTTAATCAAGAGCTGTAACACAAAAGGAGGGCACATGGAACAACAACAGGGTATACATGGAAATCACACTGTACCTTTTCAGATACTTGCCTAAATGATAAGTCTGACAGAAAACAATTATAAGTTCTTTGTTAATCTAAATACCCTCAGCTTCAGCAAAACATAACTTTTATTAATGTAAATATGATTCATAAGAATAGATAAATAAATTACATACAATATGTTTGACTGTAATGCAGGCACATTCCGGAGAAGTAACGTAAAAATTGTAACCAGTCCAAAAGCGCCAGCTGCAAACCACTCTGGGACAGCTGCAGAAATAAAGCTAAATTCATTGTAGTTTAAACCAGAAGTTAAAATGGCTCTGATTTGTGTCTTCACTCTTGTGATGAGAGATTTAAGTATTTTACTGTGAAAAAAGGTGCTGATCAGGCAAAAAAAAA